TTTAATTTTGAAGAGAGAGGGACAGTGCGTGGGGAGGAGAAAGCAAGCTGCCAGGTCCAGGACTCGAACTATGGTTGACCATATGGGAGTCCAGTGCCCTTAATCAGCATGCCATCTGCTGCCCCCACCCCCTGCCCTGTTTTATTGTAGTTTAAGTGGAACCTCCTGATGGAAGGATTTTACACTGCACATGAGCATAGGAATGGGATCCCTTTATTCCCATGACAAAGGGAGCAGAGGGGAGGAATGTGGTTCTGGGTGTTGGACCTGGTGGAATTGCTTTAGCACTACATGGTAAAAACAGGCCATCCGGGAATTTTTCCTGAATTGATCCAGTTTAGCATCTGTTGGTTAGTGTGTAGACTTCACTTGAGAATTTGGTTTTAACTGATTATTTCAGATCAGTTCTAAAAGGCTGGACTCGTTTAAAAAGCAGTGAGACCAAGCTATTGCCCTGGCTTCAGACTTCGCTCTTGATGAGAAAGGACTACAGTATTGAAGATTGGTAGTAAAATAGCAAGCCGTATCAAGAAAAGCATTTCCCGAGACCAGCAGATGGAGTGATGGTTACGTCGCTCGACTCCCTTGTAATCTTTTACGGTTCAAGTCCCTGACCTGTCGGCTTGGAACTCAGGCTAGGCGCATGTGCATGTGTGCCTAAAATCCCTAAGGAGGATGCAGGAGAAGGGATTATGGCATGGCCATCCCCGCTGGGGCTGGATGAGGGTGATTTCTCACTTTCTGTCTCTCTGTCTCTGTCTCTCTGGCAAGTGTACATGTCGTACAGCAAAAAAATCTCTCTCTTTAAAAAATAGCATTTCCTTTGTACAAGGATACTTTAAAATAAAGGTTCACAGTAAAATAGAATTGAAGTGCAGTTTATTTTGGTGCAAAAAGAAGGGAGTCCATGCATAGCTTTTTTTCCCCCGCATAATTAATTTTTCTAGGGGTCAGCAGGTGGTGGTGGATTCCCACATGGCTAACTACAGTTCGAGTCCCAGACCTGACAACTTGCTTTCTCATTCTCACTCTCTCTCTCCTGTCAAACATACATACATGCATACATACATAAAGTTAAATAAAATAATTCTTTAAACAAAAATGAAATTGTTGAAGACTCTGAAATTTTTAAAGATCCCTCTGCCGTCAAACATACATACATGCATACATACATAAAGTTAAATAAAATAATTCTTTAAACAAAAATGAAATTGTTGAAGACTCTGAAATTTTTAAAGATCCCTCTGCCTCAAGTGGAGCCCATAAAACCTGCTATTTTTGTCAGAATTTGCCAGAGCAAAAACAGAATGTCTGATATCTTCCCCCTTTCCTATTTCTTCTTCTTCTTCTTCTTCTTTTTCTTCTTCTTCTTCTCCTTCTTCTCTCTTCTCCTTCTCCTTCTCCTTCTCCTTCTCCTTTTTTTTTTTTTTGAGTGATAGACACGCACCCTTGTGGAGGTCTCAAGCTGTGGGCATGTCCTCTCCCTCCCCCAGAGAGGATGCTAATGCACGGTTTTCCGGGATAACTAACTTAAATCCAGGGACATCTCAGGCCATGGGTTGTTTCATTTGTCTTTGCCTTAGAAGGACCTCAGTTAACACTTCTTCGTGAATCGGGAGTGGGATCTGGTGTTGGTTTTTACCTTGCCATTTGGGGTAGCGGGTTGAGGGAAAGGAGGACTGGTACATGTTTGTCGTGTTGGCAGTAGCTCCCCTGCCAGCCCCTGCCAGGGCCGGGCCCACTTGTTGGGGAAGAGGGTGGTGTGGGGCCTGGGGTTCTGGGGTCTCGGGTGCTGCTGCTGCTGTCTCCCCTCTTGCCGCCGCCCTGCATCTCATCGTGTCTCCTCTTTGGTCCCCAGGTGCTGCACCTCTACTGCGACACTTGCTCCGTGCCCATCTGTCGTGAGTGCACTGTGGGCCGGCATGGGGGCCACAGCTTCATCTACCTCCAGGAGGCGCTGCAGGACTCGCGGGCGCTCACCATCCAGCTGCTGGCAGATGCCCAGCAGGGCCGGCAGGCGATCCAGGTCAGCCCTCCCCACCCTCCCTCCTTTCCACACGCCGCTCCTCTGTGGAGGCAGGTGGGCAGAGACCGGTGTGGGGGCTCACTGGAATAGGGACCCAAGCGAGCGTGTATGACCCTATACAGTAGGGGTCCCTACAGGGATCTTTAGCAGTCTTGTAAAGATGACAAGGATGTGACAGAGGTACTACTTAGATTCCCAAGAACCTAGCTTGGGGAACCAGCAGTTTGCGTAATGGCTATTTCGCTGGACTCCCACGCAGTCGACCGCGGTTCGTGTCCCGGACCTAGTGGCTTAAAACCCAAGCTGGGCACGTGTGCGTGAATGCGTGCGTGGCCAAGATCCCGAGAGGAGAATGGAGGAGAAGGGATTGCGGCGTGACCATCCCCCCTGGGGGTTGATTTCTGACTTTCTGTCTCTCTGTCTCTCTGTCTCTCTCTGTCTGGCGAGCGCATGCGCCCTATATTAAAAATCCAAAAAAAAAGAACCTAGCTTGTTCCCCCTTACAACCCCTGCATCCATCCATCCATCTATCTTTCTTTCTTTCTTTCTTTCTTTCTTTCTTTCTTTCTAAGAGATTTTTGCTAGAGGATGCGTGTGCTCACCAGACATACAGAGACAGAAAGCCAGAGATCACCCCCCCGGGGGGGATGGCCATGCTGCAATCCCTTCTCCTCCATTCTCCTCTCAGGATCTCGGACACGCACACACATGTGCCCAGCGTGAGTTTTAAGCCAACAGGTCTGGGACTTGAACCGCGGTCAACTACATGGGAGTCCAACAGGCCTGGACTCCTACAGGGCTGACCCTGGTTTGGATCCCAGTGGCTTGAGATAATGCTGGGTGCATTTATGTTCCTGTCTAAAATCTTTCATATGAAAGGTACAGGTGAGTGGTCGGTAGGCGGCGTGGTGGTTAAGGGTGCTGGACTCCCATGCGGCTGACTGCAGTTCAAGTCTTAGACTTGGTGGCTTGCATTCTCATTGCCCCCTGCTCTCCTCTCTTGGTCTCTCTCACTTTGTCCCTCTCTGGTCAAATGAGAATGAATGAATGAATGAATGAAAAAGAAATAATGTTCAATAAAATAATTCTAAAAGAAAGAGGTATAGGTGAGAGATCCTGGAGGAAGCAACACCATTACACAACTGGGCAGTGTGTGTGTGCGCGCGCTTGCTCAGACTGAGAGGGAGAGGAAATAGTCAGGATATAAAGAATGTAAAGAGGGAACCAGCAGTTGGCGTAATGGCTATGTCGCTGGACTCCCACATAGTCGACCGTGGTTCGTGTCCCGGACCCGGTGGCTTAAAACTCACGCCGGGTGCGTGTGCGTGCGTGCCCAAGATTCCGAGAGGAGAATGGAGGAGAAGGGATTGCGGCATGACCATCCCCCCGGGGGGTGATTTCTCGCTTTCTGTCTCTATGTCTGTCTGGCGAGCGCACGCGCCCTACAGTGAAAATCTCTCAAAAAAAAAAAGAAAAAAAAGAAAAAAAGAAATAGGTATAGCTGAGAGATCCTGGAGGAAGCAACACCATTACACAACTGGGCTGTGTGTGTGTGTGTGCGTGTGCGTGCGCGCGCGCGCAGACAGAGAGGGAGAGGAAATAGTCAGGATATAAAGAATGTAAAGAGGGAACCAGCAGTTGGCGTAATGGCTATGTTGCTGGACTCCCATGTAGTCGACCGCAGTTCGTGTCCCGGACCCGGTGGCTTAAAACTCACGCCGGGTGCGTGTGCGTGCGTGCCCAAGATTCCGAGAGGAGAATGGAGGAGAAGGGAGAATGTAAAGATAGGTTTGTATATGAAACCAGACATTCTCAGCAATGGGAAGAACAAAGCGTGTGGACCGCTGAAATGTTGAGATGCATGCGCCCCTACTGAAGAGCACGCTGATAGAGTGTGTGGGTTGTTAATCACTTGATTCTTCTCCTTTGTTAAATTCCATCATGGTTTGGTGTGCTGGTTTTTTTTTTTTTTTTTTTTTTTTTTTTTTTTTTTGCCATAGGGCACGTGAGGAGAGAGAGAAATCTCCCCTCGGGGAGATGGCCACAGTGCAGGCTCTTCTCCCTTCTCCTCTCCACTAAGCCTGCCAGATATGGGACTCAAACTATGACCCTGCCATGTGGGATCCAGCTGGTCTGGGACTCTAACCACAGTCGACTACATGGGAGTCCAGCGACATAGCCATTATGCCGACTACTGGTCCCTAACCTGGCTAAGATTAATTGTGGTGTTGGCTATGACCATTTTAAATCTAATCCTTTTCCCTACTTCATTAACTTTCATTTGGCTGGATGTCATCGACATTGTCGTCTTTTTCTTCTTTTTGTAAATAGAGGGTTTTTTTTGCTACTGGGCGTGTATACTTGTAGGAGATGCAGAAGACAGAAAATGACACGTCACTGCAGGGTGGGGGGTGGCCATGCTGCAATCCCTTCTCTTCCATTCTGTTCTCAGAATTTTTGGCTTTGCATGGACATGGGCCAAGCATGAGTTTCAAGCCACCAGGCCTGGGACTCGAACTGCAGTCAGCCATGTAGGAGTCTACCACCTTAAACACTATGCAACATACTGGACTATTAGGAAACTAAAGCCAGTGTTGGATATCTATTTCTTTTCTCTGCCTGTTCACCAGTACATATAAGTGGCTTTTAAGAGCTCCTGAATGGGGACCAAGAGATGGCGTGCAGTGGGCAGTTGGCATGGTGGTTAAGGGACTGGACTCTCATATGGCCGAGTGCAGTTTCAAGTCCCAGACCAGATAGCTTGCTTTCTCACTTTCACTCTCTTGCTCTGTTCCTCTCTGGTCTCATTAATTATTTAAGTAAGTAAGTAATATAAATAAAATGATTCTTAAAATTAAAAAGACATGGCATAATGGTTACATTGCTGGACTCCCATGTAGTTGACCGCAGTTTAATTCCCAGACCCGGTGGACTGAAACTCATGCCAGGCACATGTGTGTGTGTGTGTCCACCCGGGCAGTCATTTTTTGCTGTCTCCGTGGCAAGCACATACTAAACTCTCTCTTTGCAATAAAAGAGCTCCTAAATGATGGGGTCAGCAGGTTGTCTGGTGGTTACGGTGCTCGACTCCCATACGACCAACTACAGTTCGGGTCCTGGACCTGGAGTCTTGCTTTCTCACCCCAGCCCCCTTTCGCTGTCTCTCAAGCTCTATGGAAATATGGGTGGGTGGGGGGGAAAGGGAATAAAATTAAATAATAATTCTTAACGGGGGGCAGGGAGCTCCTGAACAGCACACTAGTACTGTTCTATCAAGAACAAATGAACAAACCTAGGGCTGATTCGGAGACTAATGGCTTACAAGTCAAACCTGTTACTTAAATGCTTCCTGTAAGAGAAACCAGAATCTATTTCCACCCTGCAATGTTTTATTCTGTATTTTGGGTTAAGCAGGTTAAGTGGTTTTCATTCAATTAAATACAATTCTAAACTGGTTCTTTTCAGAAAATTCTATACCCCCAAATTACATGTTAATTGATGTGTTCCTTCCCTCTCCAGTGTTCTAAGAGCACAGCAAAGTCTTCACACTGTCTCTGTAGCACTCTCTAATATAAATGCTGTTTAAAGGCACCCTAAAAATTATGGGGGCGGGCTAACTGATCTGTCACCCTTCTGACCAAGTGCTCAGACCGGCCTGAGGCATGGTAGGTGAGGTAGCTGCATCCCACGTGTCTGGTTGTATAGTTCAAGTCTTGGACATAGACTAGAACCTAGTGGCTTGAGAAACACACTAGGTGTGTGTGTGTACGCGCGTGCATGCACAGAAAAGGAGGGAGAGATAGGGAGAGGGTGGCCTTCCCTAGGGGATGCTTTTTCACACACCAACACACCCCTCTGTCTCAGAGAAGTACATGTGAACTCTGGCAAAACATGATAGAGTTAAAAAACGCGAAGGGGGACCACAGTGGCGTAAACTCACTCTGGACACGTGTGCGTGCGTGCTCAAGATGCTGCGAGGAGAATGCAGGAGGAGGGATTGTGGCGTGGCCATCCTCCCTGGGGGGGCAGTTTCTCACTTTTTCTCTCTCTGTCTCTATGTCTGGCCTATAGCAAAAACCTCTCCAAAAGAAAACAAACAAAGAAAAAAACAAAAAATTAGCCAGGTTCAAGGGATTCCTCCCTCCGAAAAATGAGTATAAAGGTGGTCTATATTAAATATCTAAAAGGATGACGCACCCACCTTCACAAGTCATTGAAGACACTTATTTAAAAGGAAAACAAACTAGAACTGGGCAGACAAAAAAGTTACTCTATTAAAACATCGTAGATGGGAGTAAAAGAGGAAGACACTCCAAGAGCAAAGAATGAAGAAGATAACTTTCCTTTCAGGAAGACCACACCACACCCCCCACCCCCCAACCGCGTAGTGAGCTGCATAAATGAGCACATTGCGTAAATGTTGTGGCCGAACCTAGGCTTTCTGGCTTCGTTGGGTTCTTTTGTTAGGCCAGGTCATGTGTAGACACTGGTTACAGGAGGAAAGCTCACCACGAGGAACCTGAGAACGCCTCCTATCACGCATGGGCTTGTCCACCACTAGGGAAATTACTCCAGGAAGCAGGTCAAGGGAAGATGGATTCCCTATTGTAGGTGTAGAAATGCAAGAATAAAATTTAGTTACTGTGGGGACCAGGAGTTAGCGTAATGGCTATGTCCCTGGACTCCCACGTAGTCGACCACGGTTCGCGTCCCAGACCTGGTGGCTTAAAACTCACGTTGGGCGCATGTATGTATGTGCCCAAGATCCCGAGAGGAGAATGGAGGAGAAGGGATTGCGGCGTGGCTATCCCCCCTTGGGGGTCATTTCTCGCTTTCTGTCTCTCTGTCTCTCTCTGTCTGGCGAGCGCACACGCCCTATAGCAAAAACCTCTCCCCCCAAAATAAAATTTTAGTTACTGTGCCCCAAATCCCCGATTTCGTTTAACCTCAGGGCTTTTTCTTTATCTCAGTCAGAATTAATGGCCCCCTTATTTTAAGCA